AGAGAGAATGGATGGATGGATAAATAGATGATAGATAGATAGATAGATAGATAGATAGATAGATAGATAGATAGATAGATGTGTAGACAGACATAATGATATAGATATAAAGTTGATGGATGGATAGATAGATAGATAGATAGAAGATACAGACAGACAGATGGACGGATAGGATAGACGGATAGAGAAAGAGAGAAAGAGAGAGAATGGATGGATGAATGGATAAATAGATGATAGACAGACAGATAGATAGAAGATACAGATGGACAAACGGACAGACAGACAGAATAGATAGATGGATAGAGAAAGAGAGGAAGAGAGAGAATGGATGGATGAATGGATAAATAGATGATAGATAGATAGATAGATAGATAGGCAGGAAGGCAGGCAGGCAGACAAATGATGGATGGATGGAGAGATGAGACAGACAGACTAACAGATAGAATAGATAGACGGAGAAAGAGAGAGAGAGAAAGAGAGAATGGATGGATAAATAGAGGATAGAAAAGAATTAGAATAGAATGGAATGGAAGGGAAGGGAAGGGAAGGGAAGGGAAGGGAAGGGAAGGGAAGAGAAGAGAAGAGAAGAGAAGAGAAAAGAGAAGAGAAGAGAAGAGAAGAGAAGAGAAGAGAAGAGAAGAGAAGAGAAGAGAAGAGAAGAGAAGAGAAGAGAATTCTTTATTGGCAAAGTGATTGGACACACAAGGAATTTGTCTTTGGTGCATATGCTCTCAGTATACATAAAAAGACAAGATACAAAGATAGATAGATAGATGATGGATAGATGATAGATAGATAGATAGAAAGAAAGAAAAATGCAGAGGGTCTCAGAAGGGACCCTCCCTAGTTTCTTGGGCTGTGAAGGCGAGGGAGGGGGGGAGGGAAAGAGGGGCTTTGAGGCTTTCTGTCCATGTAACCTTCCAATCAAAATCTGGTTTCCACTCCTGGCTGACGGCCCTTATCTGATCTACCTGGCAAGGCAGACAAGAAGGAGTTTCTCTTCAGCTGCTGAGAACCTGCCCGCCTGCCAAGGGGAAGGTGCCTTAGATACCCCCTCAGGGCAGGGAGAAGAATCTCGCTTGGCCTCCGGTTGACGCCTCCTTCTTTCTTCACTGGAGCTCCAGGAAAATTCCTGAGCCTTTTTGTCAGGCTGCGGCCAGTTTCTCCTTTCAGCAAAGAAAAAAAAACCTGTGAGATTTTTTTTTTTTTTAAAGGCTGGCATTTTCATGAACCTTCCCAGGGAACCATCCTGTAAAGTTTAAAAGTTTTTAAAAAGTTTTTAAAAAGTTTTTAAAAAGTTGTTAAAGTTTCTCTTAAGTTTTAAAGAAAGCATTTTAAAGTTAGTTTTAAAAAAGTTTTAAAGTTTCAAAAGCTTTTAGAGTTTTAAAAAAGTTTTTTAAAAGTATTTTTTTAAGTTTTAAAGAAAGCGTTTTAAAGTTACAGCTTTAAAGAAGTTTTAAAGCTTTCAAAAGGTTTTCTTTTTTTAAGTTTTCAAGCCTTTAGAAAAGGTTCAATATTTTTTTAAAAAAGTTTTGAACTTTTTTTAAAAAAAGTTTGCTCGTCAGAAAGTTGCAGAAGGGGATCACTCGACTTCAGGACAACGCAACCGTCATAAATATGAATCAATTGCAAAGGGTCTGAATGTTGTGTCTCGTGACTGTAGGGATGCTGCAATCCCGGTCATAAGTGTGAAAAACGGTCCCAAGTCACTTTTTTGTGGTGGTGTAATTTTGAATGGCCACTAAACAAACAGTTGTAAGTTAAGAACTATCTGTACTTTGCAGAGCTGATAAACTGAGACACAAACCTTGGTTGCTTTGCAGAGGGACGTGTTACCCCAAGAAGCAAGATGTGACTTAATGGTGGTTTAATCATAGCTGTCTAATGTTGGCTTTCGAGAAACTCTTATCTCCGTATCTCTTTGGAAACCACGAGGGCTAGAAACTTAGGTTTGCCCAAGGTAGAAGGCAGGATATCTAGAGTGGAGTCCTAGAGGTCATCTAGTCCAACCCGCAACTTTGAGCAAAGGGGGTTGGGCTAGAAAACCTCTGAGGTCCCTTCGACGCTTCTGTGTGTTTCTACATCAATCAAGCCAAGGTGGTAGCATCTCCTTGTGGTTTTCCTTTTTTCCCTGACCTTGGGGAAACCGAGTCACGTGCCCGAGCCGCAACACGCAAGACAGCCAGCCGCCCGGACTTGTTCCACACAAATCCTGTGCTCAGCTCAGCCACCCACATGGCTCGCGGCGGGGTGAATAAGCAGTTTCGCTGAGTGGTTACAGAGACCGGGCGAGGCCTCCGAGCTCTGGGGAACCTGGCACCCGGCGGCCGTGTGCTCCTGCCTGAAAAGCGTGGGAAAAACAGCCCTTTTTGCCTTCCGTGGGGCTGGGCGGAGGTCTCTCTGGGGTGGCCCCAGGCAAACAATGTGCTCGGCGTTCCTGGGAGAGAGTTATGGGGCTCCGATCCAAGGCCTCGGGCATCCCGCTTGGAAAAGGGATATACCGACAGCTCAGAAATGGGTGCAAGGAATTGTTTGCAGAGTTTCTCTGGGTGGTTTTTTTATTTTTTTGTTATTTTGGCATTCGCACCCGCCTGCATTTTTGTCCTTCTCTTAATTCATTCTGAAATTAGCAATAATAATAATAATAATAATAATAATAATAATAATAATAATAATAATAAAAAATATCCCAGCTGGAAATAGGTTGGTTTGGCTCCTTTTGGGATTTTCCAATTCTGATTTTTCCAGCCGGAGACTCCAGAATGAAAAATTTTCAGGCTAGTTTGAAGGGGTTTTTGCCGATTCTTACAAGCGTGTTGGGCCAAAGGGTGTACAAAACACAGTCGGTTTGTTAAGGGAAGCACACAGGGCTGGTGATGTCAGGGGGAAAAAAAGATGGAGAAATTACAAACGGAAGGATGGATCGGATGGGGGGAAGAAACACCGAAAGAATCTCTTGTGGGTTTTGGCATGAAGGTGGAATAAAAAGCTACGAAGGTTGGAGTTTAAATCTGAGAAGAGGAAGGAAGGCTAGATGGAAGAAAAGAAGGGGAGGGAGGGAGGAAGAAAGGAAGGAAGGATGGAAAGAAAAAAAAAGAGAAAATGAAGGGCGGGAAGATAGAAGGGAGGGAGGGAGGAATAAAGGAAGGAGGAGTGCGGGAGGAAGGGAGAAAGGAAGGCTGGAAAGAAAAAAGAAGAGAAAATGAAGGGAGGGAGGATAGAAGGGATGGAGGAAGGAATAAAGGAAGGAGGAGTGAGGGAGGAAGGGAGAAAGGAAAGGAAAGGAAAGAAGGAAGAGAGAAGGAAGAAAAAATGAAGGGAGGGAGGATAGGAGGGAGGGAGAGAAATGATAGATGGGAGAGAGGAAGGGAGGAAGAAAGACTTGAAAAAAAAGAAAGGATGGGAAGAACGAAGAGGAAAAAAGAGAAAAAAGGAAGAAAAAAGAAGAAATGAAGGAAGAACGAAATGAAGGAAGGAGGGAAAAGCAGGACAGAAGAAGGAAGGGAGGGAAGGGGGATAGAGGGAGAGAAATGAAATAAGGAAGGAAAAGAGGGATAGAAGAAAGGAAGGATTACAGAATGAAGGAAATGTAAAAAAAGAATGGAACGAAGCGGGTGAGACAAAAGGAGAGAACTGAAACGAGAAACTGAAATGCAGAGATTTGCAAACACTTACAAAGCAAGAAAAATAAACAGGGATTTTTGCACAGGCTCAACCTCCAACACAGGAGGGGGGGGGAACCTTCCTTCTCCCCCCACCCCGAGAGCCACTGCCCTTCCAAAGCCGGATGCAGGGCTCCCCACCCCACCCCACCCCACCCCACCCGGTGGCTGCCCTGGGTGCCAGCTGCTTCCCACCAGAGGCGGGAGGAGGTATGCGCCCTGCAGCCCGAGAACGTCTCCTCAGCCCCGAGGGCAAGGGCCGGCTCCCAGTTTCGATCTGGCTGCAGCCCAGCAGGTGCCATGAATCACCCGGGCTTCCTCCGGCTTCTCCACCTGTCTCCGGGGAGTGTGGCAATCCCCACTGCTCTTGTTTGCCAAAGACGCGAGACGTGGGAATTGGCAACGGAGAGGCCAGGCTCACGGCTGCGGCCTTGCCTGGGTGGGTGGGTGGGTGGGGGTAGAGAATAGAGGAAAGTGCCCAGGGGCAGGAGGAGGAGAGCCAGTTTACCATTTGTGAAAGTCACCCCTTGTTTCTCTGGGGAGTAACTACTGCATCCTTGCACAATACAAGTAACTGGGCGGATCATAATCCAAGAAAAGTTATACGGAAGGGGCAAAAAAAGGACATGGAGACGGACATTGAACCAAGAAATATTAAAAGAAAAGGAATGTATTCAATTCATGGAAAGGGAACCAGATTTTTTTCTTTAAAGAGAACAGAAAAGAAGACACACACCATTACAAAATGTATGGGATCCAGATAAAGCATATATTAGAGGATCAGCGATAACATTGTAGAGGAAAACAGAGTAGAAAGAAGAAACAAAATCCAAGGACATTAGAAGAAGAAAAGACATTAGAGATAGAATTACAAAAGGACAGATAGAGGTAGAAAGATAGATAGATAGATAGATAGATAGATAGATAGATAGATAGATAGATAGATAGGGAGAGAGAGAGAGAGAGAGAAATTAGAAAGACAGACAGGAGAGATGACACACAGATACACAAAGGGCAGAAATCTTGGCTCATAAGCTTCAATCAAAGGAAATATCACACGCCAGTGTACACTTTGGGGTTGGTCTAGATGACCTCTGGGGGGTCTCTCCATCTTCTCCAAGCCGAACTGATGAATCGGGTGGCCTTACGCGCTTCAAAGCTCAGAGCTTCCTCATCTGCAGGGCTTCTCAGACCCCAAAGGAATCGGATGCCTTTCCAGAGATTAAACATTGCATGATCTGACCTTGGATGGTCCTTGACCGGGAGGGGGGAGGGGGGTGGGCTTGGCCAGCCCAGCCCACCACCAACGGTTTGGCTTTCCTTAAAAACGCTTCGGTGACAGCAGAGGACGAGATCCGAACACGGCTCGGGAACCCCTCCAAGTGGGGGGAGAAAACACCCCCCCCTTCTCAGTCCATGTCGGAGGCTGCTTTCGTCCTTCTGCAAGACTCTTTCTCAACTCTGCCTGGTTTTTAATTTTTAAGTTCGGGAAGGGCCCCTTCCTGCAGGGGGGAAATTCTCTTTGGCCCTCCAGGCTTTAGCCCAGTAGAATTTATTTATTATTATTTTTTTAAAAAAAACCTTATAATAACCCTTGAAGATATGTTGATTTGTCCTTTCAGAGCTGGGCTGGCCAGCTAAAAGCAGCAGAGCTTTTGAACAGAAGTGGGGGAAAAAAAAAAATCCCCTGGATCGAAGGGCGAAAAAGGAGGCAAGGATTCACGGAAAAAGAGGCGGAAGCCAAAATTAAAAGTAAGCGGTTTTGACATTTTTCCTGATGCAGAGAAGACTTCGGGCTTTTAGCTCTCCACGGCTTGGTGGGAGTTGGGTTGAGATGAGAGGAGGGTATTTTTATCCTGCCTTCATTGTTGTTTTTATAAATAACTCCAGGCAGCCAAGGTGTTGGGCTGATGCCAAAAATGATTCCCAGAGAAATTGAGGGGGGGTCTGTGTGGCCAGGGAGGGGGAAAAGATTTGGAAATCTTCGGTTAGTTTTTGCAAAGTTAAAAATGCAAACGTAAGAGCGTCCTTCCTTCCTTCCTTCCCTCCATTCCTCTCTTCCTTTCTTTTCTATCCAACCCTCCTTCTATCCTCTCTCCTCCCTCCCTCCGTCATTTTTTTCATGTCTCCTTTTTCCTTTTTTCCTCCCTCCCTACCTCTCCTTTCTTCCATCTCTCCTTCCTTCCTTTTTGCTCCCTCCCTCCCTTTCTCTCCTTCTTTCTTCTCTTTCTCCTTCCTTCCTTCATTGCTCCCTTCCTCCTTCCCTTTCTGAACTCTGCCAGCAGAGGCCGCTATGGAAGTGAGCAAACTTTCATTCTGAACATTTTTACGGGGGAAACTCTTGAAATATCCATCCGAATATTTTCTTTAGAAAGAGTTTTGTGTTCCCAATCCCCATATCTTCCATCAATAGAAAAGGGGAGGCAACTAATTAAGCCCCTTTTAGAGAGGGATGGAAGTTCCCCGATAGACACCGGGACAAATAAGAATAATCCGGTGCTCACAGACAAAAACAATCCATAAATACGCCTGTCCTTTGCAACAAGCTATAAATAAACTGGGGTTATATTTGTGCGAGAGATGCCGAAATGCAGAGGTAATCCTTAGCTTGTACAGGCCAAGCTTACAGCTGTGCTTCGTCACAAAAGACACAAACGAAACAACAGAAAACTTTTGCGAGTCCCAGAAATTTCTTAGCCCAGGAGGCTGCCTGTCGCCTCTCTGCATGAGTTGCTGTTCTGGGATGGGTTTTTTCTACACAGTTCAGAGATGCACCGGGCAGGCTCCTGGCCATTCCCACGGATGCTCTCAAAAATCAGGCAGATTATGTTTGATTTATTAATTCCCCTTATTGATCTACACAGTTCGGCTGCTTTGCAACACAGATTTTCCCAAAGCGGTGATGGTTTTGGAACGAAACGCCCAGAAATACAGGACATCGATAAAATAAAATATAACTACAAACTAAGCTATAAACTAGACTGTAATATAAACTCAACTAAACTATAATACAAACTAAATTATAAGCTAAAGAAAATTGAACTAGAAATGATGAAGTCTGAACATCCAGTTGACTGTGCGATGAAATAAAAATAAAACTATAATAGAATAAAATAAAGAAAAATAAAATAATAATAATAAAATAACGTCCTGAGGACTGTGTGATGAACCAAAAATGAAACTATAATAAAGTAAAATAAAATAAAATAATAATAATATAAAGTGTGAACATCCTGATGACTGTGTGATGAACCAAAAATGAAACTATAATAAAATAAAACAAAGTAAAATAATAATAATAATAATAATAATAATAATAATAATAATAATAATAATAGTACTTAGGATGCTGGCAGCAACCCATATCTACCATCAGCGCTGGCCAATATTTGTGACACATTTTTAAATGTTCAGTTGACTGAGTTTCATGTTTAATGAATAAAAGAGATGATGATGATGATGATAATAATAATAATAATAATAATAATAGTATAAAGTGTGAATATCCTGATGACTGTGTAATGAATCAGAAATAAAATAAAATGAGATAAAATAATAACATTTTAAAAAATATAAAATAAATCTGCAGATGTCAGGGTGACACAGGTCTCCGCGGCTAGACAGCAAAAGCAATTCGGCTCCTCGGGTGTTTTTCTCCCGGCCTCCAGATGTCGGGTGGGATCTTCACCCCCTTGGAGAACCTGTGTGAACTCAACAATGCCAATTGCCACCCGCTGGTGTGCTTCCTGTGCCACGAACAGTACCAGCACCCCTGCCTCCTGGATTGTTACCACAACTTCTGCGCCAGCTGCCTGCGGGGACGAGCCACCGACAGCCGCCTGGCGTGTCCCCTGTGCGGGTAAGGACGGCCTCCCTGGCTTTGTGACTGCCTTAGGGTTGGGGTAGATGACCTCCAGGGCCCCTCCCCGCTCTAGGATCCCGCCTTCTACATTTGGCAAAGCTAAGTTTGTAGTCCTCATGGTTTCTGTGGAGGGAGATAGGGGGAGTTTCTCGAAACTCAATAGATTAGAGAGCTCCGATAAGTAGACGACTGCAAATGATTGTCCAGGCTCTTCTTGAAAACCTTCCAGCATCTCTGGATTTAATCATGGTTCGTCATGGTTTTTAACCATGGTTTGTCACGGTTAGGAGCTCCTTGAGCTGAAAAGATCTTACTTTAGACCAGGTTGTGTCTTCCTTGCAGCTACCAGTCCGTCGTGAAAGGGAACGGTCTCCCCCCTGAAGACCAGCTGCTCAAATTCCTGGTGGACAGCTCTGGAGACTACGAAGAAGGCGTCCTGTGTGCGAATTGTGACCTGCAAAGCACGAAGCAGGTAAGACGAGATGCGATCCGGTCTCCGACCAGGTTGGGCAAGTCCAATCCAGAAGCATTTGCAGGGATGAAGGGTTTCGCCCACCAGGCTTACAGGATCGTAGAGCGGCGGGTGAGGAGGGGCCCCTGAAGGTCATCTAGGCCAACCCTCTAGGCACGCAGGATGGGGAATTCTGGGAGTTTAAGTCCACCCACTTTCAAATGGCTAAGCTTGAGAGACGCAGCAATAGAGCATCCCTGTGCCGGAGCAGTCTATCTTAGCAATGGCTGCTCTAATTACTTCCAAGATCCCCTTCCCAGCCTCTTTCTCTGACCACACCTGTCTCTCCTCCTTCTCCTCCTCCAACACCCATCATCCCCTCCCGTTGCCGTTTCCGAAGGAGCTGGACGCCATGTACTTCTGCAACACTTGCAGCCAGCCGCTGTGTGCCAAGTGCCGCGAAGAGACCCACAAGGCCAGGATGTTCTCCCGCCACGAGATCGTCTCGCTGAGCAAACGGGCGAAGGAGGTCCATAAAAAATGCCGTACGTGCTCAGAGGCTATGTTCTCATGCATGACCCTTCACCCTCGCCACCAAACCTGCCAAGCCCGACTTCTTTGCAACGAAAATACAGCAGAAAAGAACCAAAAGAATTATAAAATCACAGAACTGTGGAATCGTCACACAATCATAGAATCAGAATCGTAAAATCGTAGAATCATGGAATCGTAAAACTGTAGATTCACAGGCTCAGAATCATAGAACTGTAAAATCGTAGAATCATAAAATCATAAAATCACAAGAAAGATAAAATCAGAATCATAGAATTGCAAAATCATAAAATCACAAGAATGATAGAACCAGAATCATAGAATTGTAGAATCATAGAACCAGAATCATAGAATTGTAGAATCATAGAATCAGAATCATAGAATTGTAAAATCGTAGACTCATAAAAATCATAAGAATATAGAACCAGAATCATAGAATTGTAGAATCATAAGAATCAGAATCATAGAATTGTAGAATCAGAATCGTAGAATCATAGAATCTCAATCATGGAATTATAGAATTGTAGAATCATAAAAACCTAATCACAGAATTGAAGAATTGTAGAATCACAGAACGAGAATCATAGATAAACAGGGCTGGAAGGGAACTCTGAAGGTCTTCTAGTCCAACCCCTCGCCCAAGGCAGGAGTTGTTATAACTTATAATTCATTCTTATTTTTGTTCATTTTTTTCCCCACATTTTGCTTCCCATATCCTCCATCTACGATCTGCAAATGGAATCTGAATTCTCCCTTGAATTTGCAGCCAAAACAAAAATTCATTTGACGCTCGGTTCTCCTTTTTTTCCGAGGCTCCAATTTTACAGTACGATTTTTTGGGGGGGCTGCAACCCAGAATTATAAATTCTGCTGTTGTGTTTTCTCTCTTTCCCAGCTCTCCACGAGGAATTGTACATCATGTTCTCCACGGAGAAAAAATCCATGCTTTGCATTAACTGTTTCCGGGATATGCCTGTGTAAGTTTGCAATTTTTCAGAATCAACCTCCGTCAAAAAAGCATTTTAAGGGCTTTTAATTTGAACTTAATTTAATAGGAGGTCTCTCCAGTTCCAGTAAGAAAAAACCCCCCATCATTTTGCATCATTTAGATTTAGAAACATGTACAGGAAGTCCTTGATTTATGACCGTTAATTGAGATTTGTATTTTAGTTGTAAGCCTGACGGTGTATAGAGTTAGCCAGGGGAACCTCCCGACACTTGATAAAAGAGACTTTTTAAGATCAGCATGCTGCCCGCCCAAAAAATACCTAAAAGGCACATCATTCCTCTCCTCCAGGGAGAGCCGAGCTCATTGCATTGATATTGAGACGGCCTACATGCGGGGTTGTGAGAAACTGGACCAGGCTGTGATGGTAAGTGGGAAGGATTTGAGAAATATCTCTGGGGCTGAAAACGGCTTTTATTCGCCAAACTTCCTGCCTCTATTTCTGAAGTTTTAGAGCCGGAGGTTAGAGGTGACTTTGGAGAGCATCTAGTCCAGCCTCTGGCTAGTGAGGGAAGGATGTGGCACAATGGGGATTAGCCCACGCTGGGACCACACGTGGAATAGCGATTGGATGTCCTTCCTTTCTCCCTGGTTTTCTTTCCTTCCTTCCTTCTGTTTTCCTTCCTTCCATCCTTCTTTCTTCCCTCCTTCCTTAATGCCTTTCCTTCCCTCCATCTCCTTCTCCCTTTTCTTCTTTCCTTCCTTCCCTTTTCCTTCTTCCCTCAATTGCTTGCTTGCTTCCTCTTCTTCCTTCATTTTTTCCTTTCTTTCCTCTCTCCCCCTTTCCTTCCTTTTCCAATTGTTCTCTCCTCCCTCCCACTCCTGGCCCTTTTCCTTCTTCCTTCCTTTTTCCTCCCTGCCTCCGTCTCTCTCCGTTCCTCCCTCCCTTTCTTTCCTTCTTCCCTCCCTTTTCCTTCCTTCCTTCCTTCCCTTCCTGCCTCTTTCCATTCCTCCCTCCCTCTTTCTCCTTCCTTCCTTCCTCCCTCCCCCACCCTCCGTGATCGCCAGGGCTTCCCTCCCTTACGAGAAAAAATTTCCAAACGGGGCCCTTTTTTGAAAAATTCACCCTGGCCTGCTCCGAAGGGCTGGCTCCGTGTGCCAAGCCCCAGAGGACTCGGGTTCGAGAGGCAGCCTGGCTCCCTGTAAAGATCCGGGGAAGGTACTTGAAGGCAGCCGTGTCCCACGCGTGTCCGTTGCGTGTCAGGCGGTGAAGGAGCTGCAGACGTCCACCCGCGAGGCCATCGTCCTGCTCAAGGCCATGATTGAGGAGGTCCGGAACAGCGCAGACGAGGAGTCGTCGGCCATCAACGCCCTCTTCAGCAGCATGCAGGTGAGACGGGCCCACCGGTGGCCAACACTGCAGGGCCTCCCTGTGGCCAACACTGCAGGGCTGCCAGTTCTGCCCAATTCCTCGTTTCCGTTTCCTAGGAGAAACTGGCCGAAAGGAAGAAGACCCTCCTAAAAGCTGTGCAGAGGTAAAAGTTTGCACCCGGGGAGACCCGGACAGCGACCTCTATGGAGGTAGTCCTCCACTTATGACCGTCTGTTGAGTGATCGTTCGACGTGGCAGCGGCACTGAAAAAAAAAAAGAGACTTAGGTTTTTCACCCTTACGACCGTTGCTGTTGTGGTGTCCTTGCGGTTACGTGATCGAAACGCTCGGCAACGGACTTACGACGGTCGCAGTGCCCCCCCCCCCCCCCCGGGATCACGTGGGTCCCCCTTTTTGCGACTGGTCGTTAAGTCTCTTTTTTTCAGCACTGCTGCAACGATTCTCAAACACACGGGTTTGCTACGGGCGTTGTAACTGTGAGGACCAGGGGTTGGGGTTGGACTGGATGACCTCCCGGTGTCCCTTCCCATTCTACCTTTCCCTGCTTCTCTTCTGCTCCCTCTCTGTTGCAGAGGTCTCTCTTTTTGAGAGAAAAACAGCCTGAAAATGCCTTTTTTTTAAAAAAAAAAAATCATTTCTAGCCAGTACGAAGAGAAGGAGAAAGCTTTTAAGGAACAGCTGGCTCACCTGGCTTCTTTGTTGCCCACCCTCCAGGTAAGGGTAGACCAATGAATCCCCCCTTGTGTCTTCCCCTTTTGCAACCCCTTTAATTTCCTTTTTTTTTTTTTTTTGGGTGCAAAACGACACCCGTTTTCCGACTTTAGGTGCACCTGGTAACCTGTTCTGCCTTTCTCAGCTCGGCCAACAAAGCCGAATTCCTGGATTTGGGCTACGTAAGTCGAACTTCCGGATTCACTTAACAACCCTGCGACTCGCTCAACAACGGCAGTGATTTCACTTAGCAACGGTGGCCAGAAAAAGGGTGTAAAAGAGGGGGGGGGGGGGGGGGGGGGCAAACTCACTCAACCAATTTCTCACTTAGCCGCCTAAATCGTTGGTTGAGTGGCTGCTTTCCATTCCAGCAACTCATGGAGCGCCTGCAAAGGATTGTCAAACAGCCCCATCGCTTGAGGCCCTCCCAAACTAGCAAGGTGAGATAAACCTGGATGCTGTGGATAAACCCTGATAATTGGTTTATTGAGAGAGGAGATAAGCTAACAGGCCTGTCTGAGCAAAATTCTGGCCCTCCCTCCATTTTCCTCCCTCTCTCCCTTTTTTTCCTCCCGCCCTCTTCTTTCCTTTCCTTTTCCTTCATCCCTCTCTCCCTCTTCTTTCCTTCCTCCTTTCCTCCCTGCCTCCCTTTTCCTTCCTTCC